TCATAAAATTGTGTAAGTATTCATTATTTCTAATTCCCTCTTATGTGATCTGCTCCCCTTGAGGTTTTTGTATATTTGTATTTTTTCCCATTCTTTTTCTATTATAATAATTTAAAAATTTTAATTTTAATTAGTACCTGTTTGCAGTACAGAATGACTATAGTCACTGTGTATGTAATACATCTAATTTTTTTTATGTCCCCTTCCCCTACCATCCCTCCACCTCTTTTTTTTTTTTTTTGGTACCGGAGATCAAACCCAGGACCTTATGCTTTCAAGGTAGGCGTGGTGCCACTGAGCTAAATGCCCAGCCCAATTTGTTGATTTTTTTAAAAGAACAATCATCTTTATTACTTGTATGATAATTTTGTTTTCTAGCCATTAACCTCTACTTTTTTATTATTTCTTCCTTCTTTTTGTTCAAAAAAATTTTGTGGTTACTTTTCTTTTTGGGTTATAGGCCCAATTTATTTATTTTCATCTCATCCCACCCCACCCCCTACACCCCATCCCAAGCCCCAGGGATTCACCCCAAGAGGTGCTGAGCTACATCCCCAGCCCTATTTACTTAGTTATTCATTATTTTAAGTTTTAGACAGGGGCTTGTTACATTGCCCAGGCTGGCCTAGAACTTTTGATCTTCTTGCCTCTGCCTCCCAAGCAGCTGGGATTACAGCAGGCACCACCACACTCAGCTATGTGTTTTCAAGTTTTTTTTCTTTTTTGGGGGGGGCGGGTACTGGGGATTGAACTCAGGTCCTTGCGCTTGTGCAGCAGGTGGCGAAACCACTGAGCTAAATCCCCGGCCCTTCAAGTTTTTTTTCTATCAGGCTTTTCATTGTGACTTCATGTGTGATCACTTTTCAGCACTGTTCTCCAGCATTTGTAAAGAAGGTATATCCTCATCATCCATACCGAATGCAATATCCTAGGCCACACCTTCCTGAGCTCCTCGGTTATATACCACTCATCTGTCTGCACGTACTCAGTTACTCTCATATATACATACCTCCATCCCACCACACAGCAGCTCATTCCTGCATGGCACTTTTATTTTTAGTACTGAGGATTGACCTGAGGGCCTCAAACTGAGCAACCTAGCCCCTTTGTGATCTTGCTAAATTGGCGAAGCCCAACCGACCTCCATTGCTGCTTGACAAAGTTCCAGCTGGGGGAAAGAAAGGGGGGAACACATCGTACCCTCATGTTTTATTTTTTCTTGCCATTATGTTTATAATTGTTACTCTGGTCACAGGAGTCATTGTGTTTGTGACTAACAACAAACTCTCCATGAGGCAAATTGGTAATGATGTATTGAAATCTGATCCGGCTCACAAGTCCCAAATTCCAGTTTCTCTTAGTTCTACTGCCACATCCACTCCTAAAGAAACCTCCCCTAAAACCCCCTCTGTTTCCCCACTACTATGACTCCCCCTCTTATTGCTGACATTCTTTTTACTAAAGGGGTCTTATGAAGAGACTGAAAGGACAGACTTTAGATGTGAGAAGAGTGGAAAATGGGAAAAAGAAAGTTAAGACAGGTAAATGCATTAAGGAGACAAGTTACTCAGTATTTCTCAAAGTGCTGTAAATATCTCCTGCTCATGGACTATGAACCTAAATGACGTTTAGTTAAGATGAATAGAGGTATAGAAAAATAGAGAGCTAATAGCAAACTATATTAACCACTGTGCAGTTTCTCAAGGGCCAGCTGGTGACCACAAGTTTGACACTTAGTTGATTAAATCTTGCTTGTAGCCCCGCTGATATAAAGATTTTGATTAAGTTACTTTCTGTTCTGTTTAGGTGTGGGTACATAAGGGGACAATTGTAATTTTTAAATATGTATTCTTGATGTTCAATGAAATGAAACAGCTTAGAGGAATTGTACTTTGTTTAACAAAAAATAACCTTTCCTTCAATAGAAATTGCTAAGGCAACTTAAAATGTAAACATGTTCCGCCCAATGCCTCCCAGCTATTGCTTAAAGATATAAAAATAAATCAGACCCTGAGACTTCTCAGAGGGAACCTGAACATTGCTTGAGGAGGTTCTTTTCTCATCGCCGGCCCAGGACATCTCCCCTTCCTACCCTACATCGACATCGACTGCAGCTGGTCTGCGGCACTAAATTTCCAGGCTGGGCTCAAATGTACAATCCTCCTGCCTCAGCCTCCCAGAGTGCTGGGATTACAGTGTGCCACCACCACATCTAGCTGGTCCAATAATGCATTTTGACAGTGTCCCTGTCAAATGGAGACATGAACCCAACTCACTGAAGTTTTACTCAGTAAGTACACAGAGGGCCGGGTGACGGCCCTCTGCAGGGGTGTCCTGGATCCCTGCCTGGTCCCTGATAGGTCCCACGGACCCCACTGGCCTATGCCTAATTATTTCAGAACATACACAGGAGATATGCCATCTATATGGTAGTCCACCATAAATATGCGGCTTTGTTTACCACACATCTAACGTCTGAGTTATGCTCCTTGCTCTTAGCTTGATTTGTTTTTTTGGTACCGGGGATCTAACTCGGGTCCTTGCGCTTTCGAGGCAAGCAGTGGCACCACTGAGCTAAATCCCTGGCCCAAGACTTTGTAAATTAAAACTAAAATTCCAAGAATAACCCATGCTGTTCCTATGTCAAGCAGGTCACAACTCAAGGGTCCACTGTAGTTTGTTTTGCCCATCTCACAAGGGGCTCTTTGGCTCTCCTGGTTCAAGACCCTTGCTATGGATATAGGAAAGTGCAGTTCTTTCATCAATGACCTTTCACCCTTCACTCTGAGCCCAAGGGCTGCCTGGCACCTCAGAGTTGCTGGCCGCACCCCTGAAGAGGTGATTTCAGGAGAGCCCCTCTTCCTGTGCACCCACCAAGCCCACTTCATCTCCCAGGAGTCTGAGTCCTGGCAGCCAAGTGGGCCTTGTGTGGCCACGCCTTCTGTCCCAGCACCAACGGAACAGGCGGGGTCTAGCCATCACAGGCATGCTGTGACTTTATATTTTATGTTGCCTCAGCAGCCATGTTCTCATCTCCAAAGCAGAGCTCAGTCACACTGGACACGAGTCCACTTCTCCATGTCCCCTGGCTGCTCAGCATGCGTGACCCAGCCATCATCCCCTGGTGGTGGCCGATACAGCCTACCTAGCTGGCCCTGCTAACCCTACCTGGATTGTGCAGATATGCCACAGTGACCATCCATCTCAAGCACACTGTGACCTCCTGGGACACATGTCACTTGCTCTGAACTCACCAGCTACAACTCCCACAGGAGACCTGCTAGGCTAACAGCCTAGGCCCAGGAGGGGCTGTGGCCCAAGGGGGGCCCATCTCCCTCCTGACCTCCCTGTGTGTGTGGCCTCCAGGAGCGCAGGCACCCCAGGACCTTCACAAAATAAAACCTTGTGTCCCCCCTACTCATCCAAGCAGTAGCCTTTATCTTGAAGTCCCTGCTCCAGGGCCAGCTCCGCCCCAGTGGGCAGACATGTGCCTAGCTCTTGGCACCTCAGGGTGTAGGATGCGAGGGCAGAGGTTGCTTTGCCTGCTGTCTGTTTTCTATACGGTCCTGAGAGTTTGACAGGTTCTGCGGTCTTTTATCAACTCACAAGAACCACAGCCCTGAGCAAGGATTTGAAAATGCAGGGTGTGCGCTGCTCATCTGAAGCTCTCTCTGAGCTGGCATCGCCTGCCCCAACTCCCAGGCCCTGGCTTCATTTCTCTGGGTCCAGGCACCTCTGTGCACCCCTGATGCATCGTGTTCCCTTCGCAGCACTCACCACCTCTCCCCCTCAGTGACTGGGGCTCATGTAGCTAAACTAGGAATGTTACAATGGCTATGACCATGTCTTCAATTCCTGAGAGGGCTCCAGCCCTCGGAGGAGGAGAGTCAGGGGGCTTCTGAAGGACAGGCCCTCCCAGCGGGCAGCCCTGTTCACTGACGAGACCTAAGTAGACAGATGGTCCTTCCCTGGGCAACAGATCCAGCCCAGCGGCCCCTTACTAGAAGAGCGAGATCAGAACCGCTCTGTCCTCGTCTGTCCGCACCTTATCATTCAGCTGGGCCCTGAAGACATGCAGCAGGTGGAAGCACACGAACAGCAGAAGCTGATGGGAGAACCGCAGGGCTCAGCCTCCAGGGGACAGGGGACAGAATGAGAGTGAACTGAGGACAATGCAGCAGGGGCTCGAGGACCTGCACCCAGGCTCAGCAGGAGCAGGGTGTCTGTGCTCATTCACAAGCAGAAAGAAAAAGCTCAGCCTGAATGAGCTCAGTGAAAAAGCCACTAGTCTCCCACCTAGGGTTGTCATGCGGCTCGGCGAAGTCCTTTTCATGTGGAAAAAAGTCAACGCAGTAGCTTAAGCAAAAAAGAACAAAAAGCAAGGAAAGGAGAAAGGGAGAAAAATAAGGAGGGAGGAGGAAGGACTACTCCGGGGTGACTACAGCTCTGTTGCTAGGCGCCATCGCTACTCAGTCCACAGCACTGCCTTCCGCCTCGGAGCCCAGCAGCACGAGGCTGACACAGGCACCATCAGAGGCACAGTGACACAATCAGTTGTGTCAGAACTCTTGCCAGAGTTCACCTGCCTGGCAAGCCCTGACAGCAGAGCCATGGAAAGGTGCCCCTTTCCAGGGGCAGGTAGCTATGTGCAGGGAAAACCAGAACCAGCCAGAGAGCAGATGTGGGCCTTTGCAAGGGTAGCCCCATGGCCATGGGGAGACAGAGGGAGAGGCCTGCGGAAAGGAGGGCCTGGCCAGTCTCCCTTTCTCCCTGACCACTGCGTCGCTGAGATGGGCGCACAGCACTGCTCGGCGGGTGCAGACTTGTCTTTCGTCCCCAAGCCCACATGCCCTACCTCCATGGCACTCCAGGCCTGGCACACAGGCATCCAGACCAGGAGCTTCCGGTACCACATTGTATTCTTGGGCCTTTGCTTCAGGCCCGTGTTAGTGAAGAGACAATGCAGGACTGAGGTAGAAGAATCACAGAGGCACGCTTTCCACCAAGTTGCAGGCTGCATTTATTAGGACACCGGGCACGGCTCTGCCTCGGCACTGGGCAGGCTCCAAGGTTTGCAAGGTGACGGTCAGCGTCCTGTGGGCTCTCTTCCTCTCAGCAGCTGGTCCTCAGGCAGCCCTGCAACACACAGTACCCCACATCTTAGCACATCCCACTACACGCTGCCTCGACTTCCCTCAACTGCACAGTCAGCTCTCCGAATCTACTACAACTTCCACTTGCAAACAAGGATTCAACCAACCCTGAATCAAAAATACTATAAAAGAACAATGAAAAAAATATAACAACAAAAACACAAATTTAAAAACACAGTATAATAACTAATTCCATAGCGCTCCCATTGTACTGGATACGGTGGCCAGGCAGAGGCAGGAGGGTATCTATTTCCCCGGGGACCTTGGGCATCCTGAAGGCACAGGACGACGTCATGCGCACCGTACACTCCTGGGTGCCAACCAGAAGCCAGCAAGGCCTTAACATCATCTCCTCACCGACCTCGGGAGTGGAACGGACACCCTTCACACACGAAGCCCACCTCCTCCCATTCTGCTGCACGAAGCTCAGATGCACATGGCGCTGGCTGCCGACAGAGGGATGGGCTCGCTGGCCTTGCACCACAGAGCTGCTCCTTCCACCACCTGCAGCTTCTCCTGGTGCCAACACCATTGCTCCAGCCCAGGGAGGTTCCGAACAGGACTTGCTGCACTTTGGAAGGTAGGGAGGCCCATTTGGCAAGTTCATGACCAGCCCCGAGGCCTCAGAGGAAATGTTAGGCAGCCCCACTTTAGGAGATGGCTTACCATGTAAGGTGTGTTCTGTGTACTGAAAAAAGACAGAGGGATGCTGGTGAATGACCTCTGAATAAACCCCTCAAAAAGGGACAGGTACAGAACAGGAGAGTCCACTCACCTGAGGAGAAAAGTTTTACTGGGGGAAAACATTTTTCTAAATTTGGTGCTCAGATCCCGGTGTGGTGATGCATGTCTGTAATCTCAGCACTCAGGCAGGAGGCTGAGGCAGGAGGATTGCAAGTTTTAGGCCAATCTTGGCGAGTGAGACGCTGGCTCAAAATTTTAAAATGAGAGGGGCTGGGGATATAGCCCAGCACCCCTCCAACATGCCTGCCTGGAGGGAACCTGCTCTCCCGGTGCAAGTGCGGAGGGGACGGCAGCCACAGCAACCACAGCAACCACAGCAACCACAGCCTGGAGGATCTAAACTCCGCGCTGCGTGTGGTGGTCCCACAGAATGCTCATTTCCAAGCCTGGCTCTGGGGCCCTGCAGTGGGGTCAGACACCCACTTCAGAGCTGGCACAGCACTCCCCTCCGTGGGTCCCCACGGTCCCCGCCTGTGGCATCCCGAACTTCAAGACCACCGCATGGCTCCTGCACCATAGGAGCCATCAGCAGAACTGAAAGTTTGCTTTTACTTCAGCAAACATTTTGACACACTGTATTTTTATTTTTATTTTTATTTTTTATTTTTTGGTACGGGGGATCGAACTCGGGTGTAGCAGTGAAACCACTGAGCTAAACCCCCAGCCCCGGGCCCTGTATTTTTAAGAATCATTTTCTTACCATTCTTCTGAAGAACTTGTAGAAGAGGTTCCTCTTCGGCCTTGGAGGTGGGGCATGTAACTTCTCCTCCAGACGCTCATTTTCACGGTCATTCACGTCCTTGAAACACTCAGTCTCGATCATCTGCACAGAGGGCAGAGGATCCGTGGCGATGGCAAGCGGGGGTCTCCAGTGCCCTCTGCTCCCAGCCAGGCCGGGCCCGGGTGGGCACTGCCGAGAACACAGCGCTCCAGTCCCCTCCCCGCAGCCCCTCTGTGCTGCTTCCTGACCTCTTCTTTGGGTCAGTACTGTGCTTCCTCCCCCCAAGGGTTCCCCAAAGCAGCTGCTGAGGGAGGGGGGCCCCAGGGGGTGGTGAGCCCCTCTGGCACCAAATGGCCACCCCTGTCCCCTTCCTGTAACCAAGAACAGAGCGGCTGCCGTGCTCTGGCAGTGGTTGGTATGGTCTTGCTGGGCTTGCCCGTGGTCTCGGCCTGGGGTCAAAAGTCGTGCACAAGTCAGGCGTGATGGCACACGCCTACAACCCCAGCACTCAGGAGGCGGGGCAGGAGGATCACTGCAAGTTCAAGGCCAGCCTGGGCTACACACTGAGTTCAAGGCCAGCCCAAACTATATGTTGAGACCTTGTCTCAAAAACACCAAAACAAAACAAGTCTTGCATAAATTGCCTTCCAAATGCACACAACACATACTTTTATGGTACCAGGGATCGAACTCCGGTCCTTGTGGTTGCAGAGCAGGCAGTGAAACCACTGAGCTAAATCCCTGGCCCAACACACACTTTCATCAGTGCTGGAACTAGCACAAACCTAGCACAAACCCACTTTGCTGGGCATGGCTTGTACCTCTTTCTGCCAGGGGATGGGGACACACCCTGTTGCAAACTGAGCATAGAAGCTCTCGTCTGTGGTGTCCAGGTAGACACCCTTCACCACGGAGAACCGCCCGATGTCCAAGACGTCCTTACAATAGACAGCATTTGGCTGCATATCAAGAACAGAGAGGCACAACTTACGAGACAGCTAGCTAACTGTCAGCTACAAAATCCACGAGTGACGCTGCCATTCCCCCCTCTCCATTCACTGTCACCTCCCTCTTTTGCAGCATTTTCCTAATTCACACAAGGTGAATCCTCTGACCTGGCAGTTCCTGAGGTCTTTCTGGAAATGCCCCCTTCTCAACACACTCGCACATGCACACGCACTCCTCCTGAGAGCCCCTTCTCTCTTTCAGTGGAAAGAGGGTGTTGCAGGGCCCAGGATGGAGAAGGGTGGGACGGGGCAGCCCCAGAGGGCTGCAGAGGCATGGCGACCGTCAGCCATGGCACCCAGGAGTGGCCCGTGCCCCCCTCCAAAGCACCTGCTTCCTGACTGGCAAAGTGGCAATGTGCCTGCAACCCTGCCAGCTCACTAATGCCCCCAGTACCCTCCCCTCCTGCTCGGCTCCACAGGCTGCACAGCCTTTCCCTGGGACCCCATCCCGGCCCTGCCGTCCTCGGGTGCAAGGGGCCAGCCGTGCAGGCAGGGGCGCCAGGCCTGGGCCTCCCCTCCTGCCAGAGCGGCAGCTCACACCCAGCTGAGAATGCGGAGCGCAGAGCTCGGCAGCTTCGGGCCCAGTCCCACAGGAAGGAGGCAGCCTGCGGTGTTGTGAGAAGACAGTTCCCTGCTCGCCAGAAGTCATGCAAACGTCAAGTGCCAGGGGCAAAGCAGTGGCCCTGTGGGCACAGGCGGCATGGCAGCTGCTGTCCATTCACTCAGCCCGCAGGGTGGGGAGGCAGGGCCCAGTGAGGGCGCCCTGAGACCTGAGAGTGGCCCTGGCCCAAGCTCCACACCACCCCACACCAGCAGGGCCTGCCCCGGATACCTCAGCTGTGACCTCACTGGGCTCTGGGAACCAGCTCCCCTAGGCTGGTACTGTGGGGACACAGACACTGCCAGAGTCAGGGATGGGCCTGTGCCCTGCCCCGCATGCTCCCCCTCTCCTCAGGACTGTGGAAATGCCCCGCCTCAGAGACTGCCTCCCCTGCTCCCAACCCCAGGCAGCCCCATCTCGGGTCACACGCTCCCTCTGACGTCCCTGCCCAGTCCTCCCTGCCTGAGACGGCACGTCCTGGTGCGCTGCCAGTCTCCTACCGCCTGTCTCTGTGGCAGGATGGGCTCCCAGGAACAGAGGCCTGGCCTGTCTCGCTCTCCCTGTGGCCTTAATTCTTTTTTTTTTTTTTCCTTAAATTCTTTTATTGGCACATTTTAGGTAAACAGTACGTTTACATTTATCACTGGGTGCTTGTATCTGTACATGATGTATCTTGGTTCTTATTTTTTCCCCATTCCCTGTCCTCCCTTCACCCCCTCCACCCTTCCCTATTTACATAGACTTTGTTTCCATTTGTTTTATTTTCTCATAAATTTTCCTTTCCCTTCTTTCCTTTCCCCTTCCCCTCGCACGTCCCCTACCCCTTTGGACCTTTTATTCCTATTTCAAATTATCCATTATTCATTTTAATCATTTTAATCCTTATTTACACTTTCAGTTTCTCACACTAGAGAAACTATTAGGTATTTACACAGGTGTGCCCTATTTATTTCACTTAAGAGTATGGCCTCAATATGCATCCATTTAGCTATAAATGTCTCTAGTTTCTCATTCTTTATGGCTGAGTAGTACTCCATTTTATAAAAAAAAAAACAACCCTGTGGCCTTAATTCTTAAGAGCGGGGCCTGGCAGGTAGCAGGCACTCACCAAATGAGTAGGAAACAGTTACTATTTTGGCACATGTGCACAGTTAAGTCACCGACTTCCAAACATTCGAGTTACAAACTTTTACAGGTATACTATATAAGACTCACTGCTGGCTTATGAATGAATCCCACTTACAAACAACTCTCCCAGAATGGAACTTGTTCACAAATCGGGGACTTACTATATGAAGTAAACGTAGCAAGTCCTACAGCTGACAATATCTTCATGGTACATTTACCTTAACTCCATCAACGCAGCAAAATTCCCTTATCTTAAAATGTCCAGAGCAGTGCTGGCGAACCTATGGCACTCATGCCACAGTGGGCTGTAGGTACCACTGAAAGCTCTGTTATTGTGTTTTTCTTTTCATGTATGAGTTGTTTTTCTAAACTAAAACATCAGTATTCAGGTTTAATTGCAGTGCTGGCACTTTGTGATAACCAAGTGGGTTTAGGGCTGCAGTTTGGCCACTCCTCTATAAAAGGTTCGCTGTCACTGCTCTAGAATACAAGTGTCGCAGCCTGTTCAGGATGGAGTCTAGACTGTGTTCATTCATTCACTTGCTCACCATTTAATATGCACCTGATTCCCACCAGGAACTGACAAGGCCAGGCTCTGTGCCGAGTGCTCACTTGGTCCTGACAGCAAGGTCACAAGGAGGCACCCAGCATGCAGACTACCAAAGGTGACGCACGCTATGTAGGAGGGCGGCACTGGGGTGGGCAGGATGGCACTGGCACACGCAGCCCTGAATGGCCTTGGGCACCACGGAGGTGCATGGGTCTCTGGGAAGGGCAGAAACAGCTGGCAGCAGACCTGCACCCTGGAGCCACAGAGCTCTAGGACGGTGACAGGGACAGAGGGAACAGCAGCAGTGATGGAGCTGTATCTGCTTCAACCAGCAGTCTGTTTCTGGGGACCCAGCAACTCAGGGCAGTGTACTCACATCAGGACGGAAAGGGGGCTCCAGCACATTTGCCTCCAGCCTTCGGAAGTTAATGCCCTTGAACACGGGGTGCTTCTTCACCCCAGCCGCACCATCGCCCTTGCAGCCCAGCCGTTCGCTCGGATTCTTGGTGAGCAACTACATGAGGCAGGAACAGAGTCAGCGTCAGGGTACAGAAGAAGGCCCAAGCCGCCCGCAGGATGACCACAGGCTGGGGTAGAGGCCTCCTGCAGTGACAGACACTGCCACGCATCTGGTTCAGAGGTCAGCCCAACTGCCAGGCTTTACAGTCCGACTGCTCACTGCTTCACAAAAGGCAGGACTCCAGTTTTGCCTTTGAGCTCTCAATAAATAAGGGTTTGGCCAAGATAGACCCTTAAGTAAAAAAATTTAATTATGTAAAATTAGAAGATTTTTGAAAGGAAACAGAAACTACGGAGGACTTCAAAGATACCACTGTAAGCTGTTATACAGTATTTATTTATTTATTTTTTTGGTACCAGGGATTGAACTCTGGTCCTTGTGCTTGCACAGCAGGTGGCGAAACCACTGAGCTAAATCCTGGGCCCCCCAGTATTTATAATTAGAAACCATTTTTAATCTATTCATTAAACAGATCTCTAAGGGCCTCAGGCAAGTCAAAAACTTAGTAAAATTATTTTTTGTTGTTTTTTGAGACAGGGTCTCAGATAGTCCAGGCTGCCCTTGAACTCCCTATGTAGCCCAGACTGGCCTCAAACTTGTGGCAATCCTCCTGCCTCAGCCTCCCAAGTGCTGGTATTACAGGAATTCAGCACCACACCTGGCTAAATTTAATAAAATTCTTTCTAGAAATTGTATATTCTTAAAATAGAAAGCATCTCCAAAATATTCCTTACAAACATATTTATAATTGACACAAATTCAAATAAGCCTTGCTCCTTAATTGCAATTATCACAGTTACCAATCAAAAAAGGTCACACTGCTGGGGGTAGTGGCACATGCCTGTAATCACAGCTACTCAGGAGGCGGAGGCACAGGATTGCTACAACCCAGGACCTCAGGGCCAGCCTGGGCAATGTAGCAAGACTCTGTGGATGTACAGCAAAGCAACAGACTAAAGGTCTGGAACTCCACATACAGCCAAGACAGGGCTAGGAAACTAGAGCCCAGGGCCACATGCCCCCAGCTGCCTGCTTTCAAAGTAAGGCTTTATTGTCACACAGCCAGGGCATGGTTACCCCTGCTGGGGCCACTGGGCACCACACCAGCAGCACTGAGGTTGTCATGGGGACCTGTGATGCCCAGTGATCTTTGGGCCATCTGGCCCCTTACAGAGGAACCTGCTGGTCCAGGCCAAGGCAGATGTCCAGTTCCCGTGGCTTTTCTGAAAATAAGCCAGAGTCCCAAAGCCCGGAAGGCAGTCTGGTTCCGCTTGGGTGAGGCTGCACTCCTGTCTGTCCCCACCCTCAGTCTCTGAGCTCTCTGCCTTCCTGGGCTCTGCCGCGCCTGCCCCCCGGCCATGTCTACAGAGCTCTGCCTGGCAGAGTCCTGAGCCCCCTGCCCTGCACTGGATCCGGCTCCCCTCCTCCCTAAGGACAACTACAAACACCCTCCACGCGCCCATGTGACACTTGTCACAGCTGATGCAAACAATCCTTTGGGTAACTTCGTGTTGCCAGCCTCCACCTACTCCGTTCGAAGCTTCCCGAGGCAGGGTCTGTGGGGTTCTCACACCTGCTGCTGTGTCCCCAGCACCTCAGAAGAGCGGGCGCTCAATAACAAGTGCTCATTGCATTCATTCTGTGCATGCTTTGTAAATCTAAAACAGATCTGAAAATTAAGTGTAATGCTAAATGCTGCTCCTCATCTCAGACTCCAGTGTTAAGTGTGCTGTCAAAACCCCCAGCTGAGGGCTAGCATGGTCTCAAGAGCCACATGTTGAAACTTGATCCTCAATGCCACAGTATTAACAGGTGGGGACTTTAGGAGGTGAACAGGGCATAAGGATGAAGCCCTCGTAAATGGGATTCATTCCTTATCCGAGGTCTGAGGGAGCTTGCTTGTCCCATCACCACGGAGGCCACAGTGAGAAAGCAAAAGCCACGAGCCAGAACTCGAGGCTCACCAGATACTGGGCCTGCCAGCACCTGGCCTCCAGACTGTGAGCCGGACGTTTCTGGTGATTCTGCTGCAGCAGCCCACGTGCACCAAGATGTGGCCTGACCAGGCAGCACGGGACTGTGACTGGACACTGGCCTGCCTGCTGCCACTTACTGCGGAGCCACACTTCTCTTTCCTCTTCTCGCCTCTCTGCACTGCCCGAAGCTAACACCCCAGCCTTACATCACACCTGGCTCATTCCTTCTGCAGGTGTGTGGGCGGCACACAGGCCCGGTGACAGGATGTGAAGAGGGCACCAGGGCAAGCCCTACCCTCGGTACACACTGTGCCTGGCCCAGGTGCACGCCCGGCCCTAAGGGATCCCCTCCCCTGCCCTCCCCTTCTCTCCGAGCTGCCGGCCTCCACTCTGTTGGTTGGATGTGAACCTGCTCCTCAGGGACCAGCTACTTCCGCCTACACCAGTTGTGAGGGCTGGGACGTGCACTCAACACTTGGTCTGCATATCTCACGGTACAGAAGTTCTCTCCCTGGTGGACTGAGGCTCGTCACAGGAAGCGGACTCCAAAGCTACTGCTCCTGCTCACAACACACACTGCCCCTTGCCTGGACACCGCCTTCAGCACGACCAGATTTCATCCTGAAAATCTTTAAGCCCTTGTTTCTGTCTTGTTCGTAGCACCCACCAAATTCTGCTTTTCTTCCTTCACTGTCTTCAGGGCTTAGGCCTAATGTTGATCTCTGAGCTCCTTACGTACGGGCTGTACTTGGTTTTTTTTTGTTGTTGTTTTTTCGGTACCGGGGACTAAACTCAGGTCCTTGTGCTTGGAAGGCGGGCAGCAGACCCACTGAGCTAAATCCCCGGCCCTGCTGTACTTGTTTTTACATTCCCACAGCCCACCAGACCATCTGTGTGTAACACACACTCAGCCACATGTATCAAACTGAATAGAAACAGAGCTTGATCAGAATGCTATGAACTGGTGAGAATAAGCCTTTTAGAGAAGGTGTCGACCCACCTCAAGATTGGCAGCTGCAGACACCCTACCGAGGTCAAGCGTGGCAGCAATCCACTGGACACCCGCCCCCCAGCTCCTCTGTTCCCCCACTGCTCCTCTGGCCTCTTCTCTGTACAGCCACCTGGTTCCACACTACAAAGACGGAGAGGCCACCAGACCACCAGACCACAGTACTGGGTAAGTTGGAGTCATCTTCACCTCCCATCAGGACCGGGTCTATCTTCAGGGGAAGGGCAGCTGGAACCTACAATACAACTCTGCAGAGTTCAACCCTGCAGGAGGACAGGGAGCCCAACTTGGGACTTGCAGCCAGAAATCTGCCTGAATCTTATGGGTCTGCGACTAGCTTGCTGAGACTCATTGACTTATATCTGCACACTGCTGCCCACGTTGTCTATTGTGACAGCAGAGACATACCCTGAAGGAGGCCCTTCATCCTCATTGTTCTTTTATTCCCAAAATTAGTATTAGTAGTTTGGTTTTTTTCTCTTTTCTTTTCTTTTGCTCCTCTTATCTTTAATTTTTTTCCTACTCTTTGCAAATATTTGTTTTTCTCTCCTTTTTTTCTTTTCTTTTCTTCTTTCTTTTCTCTTTCCTTTCTCTCTTACACTCACTCTCTTGCTCTCCCACATTGCTCATCTTCCCTTTTTGTCCCTGTTCTGGTCCTCATTCAGAGCTCTTCTTTATTTTCCTATTATTCTCTTTCTCCTTCTCACCTGTGTCCTCTGACCACACTGCTAACCTTCCCCTATCCTTCTTCTCATCTGTCCCTCCCTCCCCCAACCCCTTCTAACTCCCCATCCCAAAGGGTGAACTTGTTATACTGAAGAGTTTATTCACTATATGTTGGGTTGGTCCTCGATCTTGATTTAAGTCACATAGCTAAAGGTGATAGATTAATAACTACCACAAAATGTCATTTTGAAAGATGTACTTGATGCAATGGTGTTGCTGACTGTATCACTTGGGCTAAGGTGTTGGTATTGATCTAATCAATGAACCTTCCTAGTATAAGGAAAGTGAGATAGCCTTACAGTCATTAGAGACTCAAAACTTAAAGACCGGCTATATCTGGAAGACACCTCTGAGAAGCCATCATTCCATAAGGGTTCTGATTACAAGCAACAAAGATACTTACAATGAGCAATTTCAAACTATCAACCCAGAAGTTAAACCAAGGTCAGTACCAAAAACAAAAATGAGAAGACATTGAAGCAAGGTACAAACTCAGACTTCCACCCCACCAAGAGTAAATCCTGGGGGAAATGAGATGGAAAAGTCCCATAACCAACCACCTGGATACCCTGAACTGATAGCACAGGAAGTAACAAAACAGATGAATGAGGCTCTAGAAAAATTCAAAGCAGAAATAATC